TGTAAGACTGCGACCCTGCATCCTGGACTCAACTCTGGGTTGTCATAATTTAGGTTGTAAAACAAACTCGTCCAGATTTCTAGATAAGAGAGCCGCACCACCCAAAGTGGGATGGATGCCGTCTCTGCTAATCAGACCAGGTTTTCCCCAAAATGTTTTCCAGTTATCTATGAAGCCCATGTTATTTTCTGGGCACCACCTAGACAGCCAGCAGTTGAATGACGACATGCGGCTAAACATGTCATCACTGGTCACATTGGGTAGGGGTCCAGAGAAAACTACTATCAAAGGTTATAGCTCCTCTAGGCAGCCTCCCCGCTCCTCACAGCAGAAATGTAGTAAGAGCTTAAGGACATCCTTCTAGGTCGAGCGAGGATTGAAGACTGACGAACAATGAAAGAAAGAATTGGGATTCACCTAGTGAAATACGGAGATGGGGTCACGCACCTGGTGCAGCGGGTGGACGTTTGACAACTGTCGCATCGTGGCCACGCAGCACAGCTCCCCTAGTATGTGGGTCCTCAGGTAGTGGGAGACCAACTGGTGACACTGGAAGTCTGCGCTGTGAACCCAAATCTTAGCCAGCAGCCAATCACAGCCGGGGTCAGAGGGCAGGAAGACAGGGTTCTGAGGCCCGGGAGTCTGCTGCAGCTGAAGTAGAGGAGAGGCATCGACTGGCTGACAGATGACCTTAAAATCTAAGTAGTGATACTACAGATTTAAAATTGGAAACTGGCTTTACAGATGGGTTATTTAATTTATGTGTTCAACCATGGATCCACAATTTTTTACAAAATACAAAATCTATAAGTGAAACAGAATACCCCTGTCCTGTTGCACTGCCTATTTCAAAGCGCCTGGAGCTCACCTGGATGGCAACTGGGACGAGTTGCCCCTGCTGGTTCAGGTGGAGGAGGCACAGCGGAGCAGACACATAGGCCTTCTTTCCGTTGATCACGTTGGCTGGGATGCCCTCCAAAACCTCGTAGTCCAGCAGGTAAATGGTTCCTTTCTGTCACAGAGACACAGCAGCTGTAATAAAGTGCACAGCTGGAAGCAGAGAACAGCAGGAAGTCAGAGGACCGCACAAACACCTGTAGCTCCTGGTCGAGAGAGGAGCCTTCAGGCAGGAAGGGGTGGAGCATGTCAGAAGTGATGGACAGGTTTGGAGGAAGGAGGCAGGTCTGACGCAGCAGCAGAGGGTTGCAGCCGTTCAGACACTGGTAGCCGAAGAACCAGTCCTCCATCCAGTGAGACTTCACAAACCCTGAGAGAGAAAAGACATCATGAATTTCTCTACAACACTAAAAGCTGTAGCAGTGACCAGCCTGCAGGCTCTGATGATGTTTGATACTTGGCAATAAAGTTCATGCTTTTTATGCATATTCATGTTGCACCAAACTGAGACAAGGTTTCAGGCAAAAGAATACACGGTACTCAATGCTGAAAGCTTCCCTGTGCAGCAGTAGATTGTTAAAAAGTGGGAAATACATTTAGATTTTACATACTTATTCAGGGTGTCGTGTCATTTTGCCAAAATCTGCATCCATAGAATGTGGCACTGGAGAAAGTAGTGCACATGCCACCATCTCTTTTACTTTCATTATGTGGCTTTTTGAGGTCACTATGTGGAACCCCCCACCGGTAAGGACCAGGAATCACAGTAAAGACTTAGTATGAACATGTGATGTTTAGTTTCTTACTGGAGGTGCTGTTCTGGAGTCCACTGTGGGCAAACACCGTCTCCAGCTCCGTGAAACTGGCCCAGGCCTCTGCTCGGCCGGTGAAGCCCTTTAGATAGTGCAGGTTTATTGATGGACTGAGGACAAAGAAACCAACACAGCGCTCTGTTTCTGTCTCACACTGAACAAATTTTAGTGGGAACGTATGTGAAATGTGGGACTTCACCTCTTGTGTGTGTAGCTGAGGTTTGGCCCGAGTTCAGACAGACTTTTCAGGTCAACACAATGTGGAGCACCGTCAACAAACGTTTGCCATCTGCAACATTGTCACAGTGAGAGACTGGATACCTCTAACTACGAGGAGTTTGCAGGAGCAGGTGGCATTGCATGCTTTCAGATGTTCTCAGTCACTTCATCTTTTTGTGAATTCAAGCAGGTTGGCTTTGTTCCAACAGCCACTACTTTGTTCTAAAAGAGATTCCAACATTTTCAAGCCTACATAATATGTCTGTTTTACCTGAGGAGCTTGTGCTGGTGTTGCAGCTGTTTGATTCTCTGCTGTTTCAGCTTCTCTTCTGTCTCATCCTTCAGCAAACACACTGCACAGGAGTGGAAATGAGGGAAGTCATGGTGACATTCAGAATAACTTCTCCTTTCAAGGCACTGAGCCCATTAAAAGTTTGGAACCAGTCTAAAATTACAAGTTCCCCGTCTTTGCAAAGGATCATTATTATCACCGACCGACCCCCCCCCCTTCACTAATACACACATCCTCTCCTAAGCCATATTTTTTCACATTCAAGCATCAGAAAACAGTGAAAGTTAAAACCAGGAGGTTGTATGCCTCCACCAAGCAGTCACATTCACATGAGCTGGACAGATGTGAGGATACAACAACCTTTGACCTGTGAAAACCAAAATCCAATCAGGTCATTCTTGAATCCAAATGAACAGTTGTGCCAAATTTGAAGAAACTCCCTCATGATGTTCCTAAGATATCGCATTAACAAATCGTTTTTAAAAGGCACTCCACAGCAGGATCTCGATCTTATCTAAAGCTCTGCCAACATCCCAGATCTGAAGTTTCCCTCCCAGTGCCTCAGACCTGATGTGTCCATAGCAGTGGGAACAGACCAGATGTCCTCAAACCAGATCTGGGCCACCTGCGTATGTGCTCCTAGACCTGATTCCTCTCCATACCTCTGACTGTGCGAGCATCATCAGAACATTCAGATCAGAATCCATGTGGTCATTTTAATGTCTCCTCCTCTGCACATACGGCCTGTCGTCATCGGCTCCTCACTGACTGGTAACAATAAACATGGAGGAGAGTGATGACAGCAGCAGGGTCAGTGGAGAGACCAGGACGTTTCACATATGGTGGACGTTTATGGAGAAGCTTCTGATCAGGCCAAACTGGAAGGAACATATCGTAACCCAGCAGTATGGGAGGAAACTGGGCCATTTGACCATCACACACACACACCACCTGGTTGTTATTCATGTGTGCACGTGGCTCACATTTCAGTTACATCTGTGCACATGTGGCAGTTTAGGAGCTTGGCGGTGTTCACACCGGTGCCGGATACACGGCGCTGACACACACAGACGGGAAGCAGCGACACAACAAGGTCAGATGTGAGCGGTAAGGCCCAGAGTGTCAATGCAGCCTGACTTCTAAACTTAACTTACACTTTCCACTCCGTAGTTCTACACCACCATTTGCTGTTTGCAGCCACCTGTCACACAGGAACACCTGTAATTCTGGATCCTCAGACCCCGACCCTGGTTCTCCAGCTAGCCTGCGGACCTCCACTCGGCTGCAGTGCCAGTCCAGGTTGGGGAATCCGGTCTGAGCCTCCAGCCGGAGCCGAACCAGAAGTAGACGACCCAGAGGACCGCTGGCCTGGACCCGGACTGGACACGCCTATCAGGACAGGAGGAAGTTGTCAGGGTAAAATTCATTCAAAGAACAATTTTACTTATTCTATAACAAAGACTGAATTCAAGATAACAGAAGTGCAAGGCTCTGACAACAACCAGGCAACGGGCTGTTACTGCTGCATCTATTATTGGGTAATGTTGCCGTTCTGTTTTTTGATAGGATGGCAGCAGAACAGGTGACCTTGTGATCCCTGTACCTGCATCACAAACTACATGACTCCTGCCAACAACCTCCTCTAATCTTTCAACTGAAGAAAAGGCAGAGGGCATCTAGTGGACAGCTGAGGAGCGACATCTGGAAAAATGAAACTCACCGATCCAGGCAGGAGACGATGGTCACCCATGTTCACGCTACTGGGCGGAGTCTCTCCCTGTGAGCCAATCAGGTTGAGCCACAGGCGGTTGAAAGTTCCACAGGTAGGACCAGGTGAGGTGTGAACGGTCACCTCAAACTCCTGACAGGAAGCCATCATGTCCGACATGATGAGTACAGAAAGACTGACCAGGGTGGCGCCACCTGGTGGTCAAACATTGACTGAATGTAGGTTCATGAACTATCCAACAACTTTCTTTTGAAAAGATTCAGTTTCTAAAGGTTGCCCAGCTGTTTTCTCGACAAAGTGCAGCTAGAAAATTTGTTTTTCTTGAAAGATTCCAACTGAAATGCTATGACATTTTAAACATTTTTAATTTTTAAATACTGTATATTTATAGAAATGTGATTAAAAAAAACAACCCTTTGTCAGTTAACATAAGAAATGAAAGCAATCTGCTGTACGCATAGAAACATTAATAGGGATGAAGTACTAGGAAATTGGCTGAAAGGGAAACGAGGAAGATGTCAGATGACAAACTGATGACTACGCTGCATCTGTTATTTATTAACACCAGCTTTTGTGGTAATGAATACATCTTTTCAAGGCTGTCAGAATACACATTTTTCCTGTTGTGAAACTGAATAAGTCTTTTGTGTCTGAGTGAAATGCTCCTGTGTGGGACCTCATTTGGTTACCTCTTGGATATTTGACTTGGAAATGAGCGACAGTAACAGTCAGCGTGGTGTTGTATCACACGTAACCTGCAGTAAAACACAAACAAATATTGTTTTCTTTCATCTTAAAGGTCACTTCCTTCAGTTTCAACTGAGGAAGCTTCCTGTTCTTTTAACTGTCAGACATCAGCAATCACCTGGATATTCTGATAAGCTACAAGAATCAGCCTTTTGTTCGTTACTTTAGTCATTTTAGAAGAATGAACCATCTAAATAATAAACTTGTGCCACGTTACAAATACAACACACACACCACCTCGCTCTGCTCAGATATTAAGAGTTAGGAATGATATTATTCAAAACATAAACACATATTAAATATGTCTCCAGGTTTCAGGCATTTGTAACGTTAGAGAGTTCCTGTTTTTTGCAGAGGCAGATGCTGCACTAACACCTTATGTTATTATTTCTTATAGAGAAGTAGAAATCAGCTCAATTTAAGCATGCGTTAATATTCAGTTATTGTTCATTTCTCACTGGAAACTTAATCCTCATAGTTGCTGAATTGTTGGCCATGTGTTTACAAATTTCATTAGTAGCTTTACATGTGGCTGGACATGCTGTGCTCTGCAGGTTCCATTAAAGGCAAAGTAACACTTACTAGCTTAAAGTGAAGTGAAAACTACTTCTCTGATAATCAGTGCCAAGTTACACAGTCCTTTCCAGGATCATTTCTAGGAACTGATAGGCCTTTACGCACCTGTAAAATACAATTGTACTGGGTTTTGCCGCTGCTGCATAAACTATATTGGGTTTTCACATCAAATCGTTCATACATTGTTCACAATGTGTGCTAAAAGATGCAGCGACAGAAAGAACAACACAGCGTGATCGGTTTTAACGTCAACAGATGCCCGAGAATCAGACTAAGTTTTAGAAGAACGAAAATAATATTCAAATGTAAAAAGAGCTGCATGTTGAAATTGCCAGGGGGTACCCCACTTCTCGCCCGATGTCAGCTGTCTGCAGCCTGTTTTTATTAAACAGAAAACAGTGAGAAACAGACAGACAGGTAAGCTCACCCGCAGAGCGATGCCTCCTCTCGTCTCTCAGCTGGTGAAGTGTGGAGGAAGCTGCAGATCCCTTTTAAAAGCCACGCCCACCACAACACCCGCACATGCTGTTGGTTCAATCTCAGCACCTGAACGCCTCGGCGCACTAGAGGGAGCGCACTACTGTGGACTTAAGTGAAAGGTAAAAGAAAATGTCAGACTAAAACTATTTGAAATAACCCAATAAATGTAGTGCAGTAAAAAGTACAATATTTCCCTCTGAAATGTAATGGAATAGAAGTAGCCTCTAGTAGCATAAAATGGAAATACTCAAGTGAGGTACAGTATTTGAGTTAATGTACTTTCCAGCTCTTCTGCAACTTTTAGTGGGTGCGTTCTTCGTATTGAGCTGTTATAACACTTTATTCTTGACTTTTTAAAATCAATTTTAGTTTTATAGTGGTATGGCTTATACAGTAGCCTGTAATACATTTCTAATGAGCGCTTTATTCCACTAGCAGGCCGCTACTAGCACGTCATTTTTAGGCCTTGACGTTACAGACCTGTAATATAAAGCGTTACTAAAGTGGCAACACGTTTTTTTTTTATACTACGCAGTTTTCCCCTGGAACACCAAAAAAAAGAACATGGAATAACATAACATAAAACATAATTATACGTTTAGTAACTGTAGAAACAAATTCTGGTTCCATAGTGTAGCGGTTATCACGTCTGCTTTACACGCAGAAGGTCCTGGGTTCGAGCCCCAGTGGAACCAAACCGAGTTTCTTTTCAACTGCGTAACAGAAATCTAGAAGAATTAACGCCCCCCCTCCTTTTGTGATCAAACTGTTTCACAAGAAAAAAAAAAAACTAAACTCTGAGAACTGGAGATGCCGGGGATTGAACCCGGGACCTCATACATGCGAAGCATGCGCTCTACCACTGAGCTACATCCCCACATAACGCATATAACTGATTAGGTGTTAGTATTTAGATAAGATACATCTGGTTTAATGATAGGCTGCTGTGTGAATGAGCTTATTTGTATCCTTTTAAATGAGCTCCGTGACTTTACAAGGGGAAATATTAAAACTCAATTAGCTGCTGGGTGATCCCAGTGTAATCCGGGTATAAATGCGGTGTAGTACATAGCTGAAACTTTAAATATTTGGCGCCTCCCTTGGCTTCGCAGTCGCAGTCAAGACTGGATAACAAATTTATTGCAAGATATCATTACTATAGAAAACTACGGAAGACTATAACATGTTTTTGATTTCTGACTTTTATTTCAGAAGTTTTACTTTTTTCTCGGAATTCTGACTTCAGCTGCTACATTTTAGGGGCAAAAAGTACTTTTTACTCCATTACATTTATTGGCTAACTTCAGTTACTAGTTACTTTTCAGAATCAGATATATTACACAAAATTTCCCCTGTGGGAAATTCACAAACTACCCAGTGGTAGTTCCAATGATAGTATATAAGGTCATTTAATTAGCTCCTGTGGATGTCTGATCATTTTGGTGAGCAGGAGATGACACCTCCCTGCCGGATTGTGATCTACACCGGGCGTCTGTGTGTATGTGTGATGCTAATTTGTTATATGTTATTTGTAATATGTTAAACTGGCCAAGTGGTCATCTCAGGATGTCGGGCCTCTGTCTCTGCAGGACATCCCAAGACAAAGCAGAACTTGCAATATGTTAAGTGGGTCTGTGTGTGAATGCAAAACAAGCCGACTTGTCTTTGTTAAAATGTGAATTGGCTGTCTGGTCGCGGAGA